CAAAGTGATTGACTCTGTGACATGTGTCAGAACAGAAGACATGCCCAACCTCTCAGCCTCTCAGAAGCACACACCCTACCTCTTTTAGGATGGTTCTTAGTGTGTCCACAATGAAGAACAGGGGTTCCTTGTTCTCATCGTTGGCTCGTCTGACATCATAGTACCCCTGTGTTGCTCTGGAAACAAAAGGTTGGGGTGTCTCTCAGTGTTGAATCTTAACAGAGCCCTGTGCCATTTCCTGGTTTCGGGACCTGAAGAGCCCATGAATGAGTTGCCTCCTGTTTTCCATCAGCTATTTCCCTGTGAGCCTAGATTGATCCCCAAGGTTCAGTCATTTCGTACCAGATTCCTCTTGGAGACCTAGCAGGATAGCACAAGCTGAATGCCTGTTGGGGAGCAGATTCCAGTACTGTAGAAAGTGGGGGCCACTGAAAGCTGAGCTGAGATCTGAACTGGCTGCCAAGGCCAGGCTTTTCTTAACATAAAACCTCCTGAGGAGAAATGTACACATCACACTACCATCACCCTGCCTGTATGAAGCACACTGTAGCCTAGGCTGGCCTCAGCATTGTCATAGCCTTGCCATGCTCTTCCTAGTCCTGGTTTGCAGGAGTGAGCCACCATGCCCAGTCAGTTCCTTGTTTTTAAGTTCACATTTGCCATAACTTATAACAGTGTTAACATTGCCCCAACTCCATAATGACTTGAAAGTTTAACTTAAAAATTAAGCTTCCAAACATCCATGAACAACCCATGTCAAAGTCTCAAATGTCCTCTGATTTCCCTGCTGTTGCCATAACCATCAACAACAACCAAAAGGAAAGGATCAGGCTAGACCAACAGCATGTTGCTAGCCTGGGAAAATTCCCAACTCAAATTCTGAATGTGCCTGGCAGTGATGGTGCATTCTTTTAATATCAGCACTCAGGAAACAGACACAGGCAGGTCTCTGAATTCGAGGCTGGCCTGGTTACTGAGCGAGTTCTCCTGAGAGAGTTCCAGGGCTACAGAGAGAAACCCTGTCTGAAAAAAAAAAAAAAAAAAAAAAAAAAAAAAAAACCAGAAAATCCCTGAATGTGAAGACAATCCTGTGGTGTCTTTCACCTCATTGGACTTCAGGGTTAACTTGATTGATGGGGCTAGAGGGCGTGTCCCCTCCTGCATCACTCCAAGTGCATACTTCATGGTGCTGTGCACTCAAACAGGACAACCTTCCCTAATGGAGTACAACTTAATAATTTCCAAGATTGCCTGTGCCTTTTCTATGATGTGCCTTCTGCTTCCTCAGCATGAGAAATTGGAATCATAAGCACAGCTCATGTTGACGTTCCCCAAAGACCTGCTCATCTGTGCTGCAGTCCTCACCCCTGCCACCTGCTCCCCTGCAGTCCTCACCCCTGCCCCCTGTTCCCCTGCAGTCCTCATGCCAACCCCCTGCTCCCCTGCAGTCCTCACCTCTGCTCCCATGCAGTCCTCACCCCTGCCCCTCTCCCTACAGTCCTCACCCCTGCCTCCTCTCCCCTGCAGTCCTCATCCCTACCCCCTGCTCCCCTGAAGTCCTCACCCCTACCCCTTGTTCCCAGGCTCCTCTTGCTTTGCCTTCCCTCTCCCAGCACCTGTTGACAGAGATGGTTCCTGAGAAAGGTTGAGTGGACTGTGGTGTGCTGTCACAATGGGAGAACTGACACCCTGTGCCACCCTCCCTCAGCGGCTCCTGGTTTCTGGGTCACTAAGGGTACTTGGTCTAGACTCACTTGACCAGCAACACATTGGCCTGCAGGTGTCTGATAAAGTGCTCAAGCCTCTCCTTGCTCACGAAGTCAAAGATGAGCTCTGGCTGCAGAAACAAAACCAGGGAAAATGCTTGTGACCAACTCCCATGTGACCTGTACTCAGAGTCCTTATTTCAGGACACCTGGGTTCCATCGAGGTCAGCTAGGCCACCACCCCAGGAGGCCAGTGTCCACCTAGTCACTTCCTCATCAAGTCTCCTTAGCTTCCATAAATCAAAGTTCTGTCTCCCACCTCCCATCTCTCTTCTCCCTCTGCTGGACTCCATTCACAGAACCTTTACAGTTGGGTGTGGCTGTTGATTTGGGCTTGCTCCAGGGACTTTTTAGGACTTAGGAGCCCCTGCAGCCTCTTCCCAGTGGGGAGTCAGCTGTGGGCTCTGGACTCTGACTCGCAGAGCTCACACACTTTATGAAACTGCTTCCTTCCACTTGGAAGAAATGTGTTTGGCGCACAGCACAGAGTGAGTCCTCCATACTGTGTCTCCACCCAGCCCTCACTGCTGGCCCTGCTGTTTAATGTGCTATGCTGCAGTGCCCCAAACGGAGGCCTGCAGCCCCAACAGCTACTGATGGACCCTGCAGGTCACTGCACGGCAGGTGTGATACTCATGCTAGGATCAGGAGACTTCCTAGGAGAGCAGATAGTTACTAAAGGTAAATAAAGATGTCAGCACAGCTGGGCTGAGGCTGTAGGTCAGTGGCAGAGAGCCTGCCTGTTATACACTGGGCCCTGTGAGCATCTGATACCCAGTCTATTGCGCACCATGACACATTCTCTCCTGGGCTGGACAGATGTCTCAGCAGAGTCCTTGTGACAAGACCTGAAACTGATCCTCAGACATCACATTTAAAACAACTGGGCACGATGTCACATTCCTATAATCTCAGCCTCAAGAGGCAGGGACAGTGGATCTTTGGAGTGTGCTGGCCACCAGCTTAGCCTATTTGAAAAGTGTGAGACCATCCCCCAAAAACAGACAGTATAGATGTGAGGATGGTGGCTGGGGAACTATAGCCAAGGGTGACCTCTGACCTGCACATGCACATCGTACACGTCCTCACACAGACACACAACAAGGGCACTCCTTGTCCTCTCCTCAGATTAAGATCACCATGGGAACCTTCTCATAACCAAGATTCCCACACCAGTTATGAATCCCCACAGTGTCTCAGTTCTGTTCTCAGATGAGAGCAAGTGCTGGAGAGCTGTGACAAGCTGCCTCCCAGGGAGGGCAGGCCCTGTGGCTTCACCTTCTCCAACAAGTTTGGGTTGGGTGTAGAGGGAGTCTCTGAACCCTAACCACAGCCAACACTTTACAGGAGTGGCTCAAACACAGCCAGGTGGGGACTTGGGCCTCTGCCTGTGATCTCCTTTTCCTCAGGAACTGGAATTGTCTGGCTCAAGGATACAATCAGGCCTCAACTCAACTTGAAATTGGTCCCAGGCAAGGATTAGGGGATGCTACCTCTGCTCATGTCTGCAGAAGTGAAGATCTTCTCCCCCCCCTTTTTTTTATTTGTTTTTTTCAGACAGGGTTTCTCTGTGTAGTTTTGGAGCCTTTCCTGGCACTTGCTCTGGAGACCAGGCTGGCCTTGAACTCACAGAGATCCACCTGCCTCTGCCTCCCGAGTGCTGGGATTAAAGGCATGTGCCACCAACACCTGGCTCTTCTTTTTTTTTTTTTCCTTTCTTTCTTTTTTTTTTGTTTAAATTTCTTCCTATTTTATTCCCTGACACAACTGGACTTTTGGTTTTGTTTTGTTTTGTTTTTTTATGATATGATTAAGCCAACAGCAAGGTGAAATGGATGGCCAGCTCTGAGGCATTTTGCTCAGGACACAAGATGTGAGACCTGCACCCAGGTCAATGTGCCCTGTTGTGCCCACACTCAACTGGGGTCAACCTTGAGGGGAGAACAACTCTGGTCTCTAGCCCCACAACTGGCTTCCTTCACTCTGCAACGGTTTGTGAGAGACTTCTTTCCAAAGGGAACAGTGAAATGATACACAGTCTTGAGACAAGGGTCTGATTCCATTTACATGCAATGTATGAAAAGACACTTGAGGACACTTGGGGAAAGTCTGTTCTTGGATGAACACATGGATGAAAGTCATAAATGGGAGAAAGGGATCTGGGGACATAGCCATTGGTATAACACTTGCCTAGCATGTACAAGGTCTTGAGTTTTTTGCCAGCACCCTGCTTTCCCTGTGTGTGTGTGAGTCCTATTGGGGATGGCATCAGAACCCTTGTGCATCATTGGTGGGAAGATAAAACAGTGCAGCCTCTGCAGACAACAGTTTAGCAACTTCTAAAAGGTCAGTCACACGTTAACCTGGGCTCCAGAAATTCTTTTCTGGCATATCCAAGATCTGGGAGCAAAGACTCAAAAGCTTGCACTCTTGTTATGTAACATTGTTGTCAATTGCCAAAACATGAAACCCCCATGTCTATCAGCAGAGCACTAGACATGGAAAATGAGGTGTGGGGATTGCAAGACGGCTCAGTAGATAAAAGCATGCTTGCAAGCTGACTGAGTTTGATCCATGACACTCAAATGGAGTTAGGAGAGGCTCCCACGTGTCCTGACTTCCACACAAGCATTTCCCTGCCTTACACACACACACACACACACACACACACACACACACACACAGAAATAAAAATTAAATAAAGAAAAAATAGATGTCAAAAGGATGTTTAAAGAAAAAAACCTCCCAGAGACTTGACTGCCTCTGTCTCTACATGCTGGGATTACAGCCCCCAGGTTGGAACAGCTAGTTTTTGGTGTCACAAAGGTGTGAACATGGACATATGTTTCCCATGGAAGGATCTGGAAAGCTTGATGCTGGGGAGATGAAGCCAGGCACTGAAGGACAAGCATAGGTATCTCATGAAAGTAGAATCAAACAATCAACTTCACAGGGACAGAAAAGTAAATGAGGGTTTTCTGGAGAGATGGGTGAGGACTTAGTTTTTTAATGGGTTCAGTGTTTACTGAGGATAACAGAGCTTGGGCTATAGGAGTTGGTGACAGTTACAAATAAACAATATGTTTAATATTACTCAGCAGTGTACTTACAGGCATCTAAAATGGGGACTATATCTTGTGTGTCTTTACTATGATATGTATATAATTTTAAAAGCACTTTCAAAAAGAGACCACAGGCAATCTATAAAGGCAGCAGGAAGACAGTGGCACTTACCACAGAGAGCCTCCGGTCCCTGTTCAGCACCACACCTGGGGAAAACACAAAGCATGGTAGCTTCAGTGTCACCTGTTACAGGAAGGGACTCACCTGGCTTCCTGGGGACGTCCCAGTCTTTTCACACAGGGCTCATGTCTTCCATCTGGGCTAGAGAAAGTCACCTGTCATCAGGAGCCCTGCACTTCTGCCCTGGGATTATTCTAGTGCAGAGCTTGGTCAAGGCTGTCTGACCACAGCACATGGGCATCTCCTCAGACCCCAAGGGCCAGAGAAGGATGATGATGGAGACACTCAGATTCTCTCATCCTTCCCTCTCCTTCTTGTTGTTTTTAGATTGGATCTCACTGTGAGACCCTTGATGGCCTGGAACTCACTCTGTAGACCAGGCTGGCCTCAACTCACAGAGATCTGCCTGTCTCTGCCTCCAAGTGCTGGGTTTTAAGACATTTGTCTTCACTCTAGGCTCCAACTCTCACCTCAGAGAAAGAAACTGTTCATTTGGTTGTTTAAACACTGGAAAACAGAGAGTAATTGAGACCCCTGGTATCCTTGTCAGACTAGGTCCTGGCCATGTTTGATGGATAATTCTAAACACGTAGAATGGTTTAGCCATGCCCTCCCCTCTGCCACATCTGTGATTCCTAGAGAACTGTGTGCAGAAGTATTGCGAGATCGAAGTTGAGCTGTAGTCCGTAAAGTTAAGATACTTTTATTCAGATAACACCAGCCAATCGCAAGCCAGAGAGTGTCCAGAGGCAGCAGGCTAGGCAGGCTAGGGAGGGTTCCCACGCATCTGCCGCCCTCTTAAGAAAGAACTCCCCAGGCATCATCCTGAACCTCCCCTGACCACGCCCTCACAGGCAAGTCAAGCATACCTGTAGGCGGCTCCTAGGAGGCGGGGCTACAATGCCTACACAGAAGTGTTGGGGGAGGCAAGGCAGCCTCTACTGTCATGTAGGAACTCACAAGCCTTGGAAGTTTCCAGGAATGGAAAAGCCAGCTCTGGGGCCTGCTCTAACAAGGGAAATGGGAAGGGCTGCAGGTGTGAGGGTAGGGAGAGACCTGCCTACAAGTCTGCTCAACTCTCTTGTTTGCAGCCACCAAAGTGAAAAGTGAACAGCCACCAAAGAAAAGGTGTAGTCAGACTTGAACGCCTTCTACAAATGGTCTAAGTCCCCAGTGTGTTAAACACTTAAATGCAAATATAAGCCATGAGGAGTTTTAGAATCAAAGAAGGACACTATTCCAATTCCAGAGTCCATAAAAAGACACAGGTCCAGTGGCAACTCCACAATTCTGCACTCAAGAAAAGAAACCACTCCAAGACTAGTCTAGAGAGAAGTGAGAACTAGAGGGCAGGAGGTTCCAGTTCCATGTCTGCAACATGGGGAAGCTGTTAAAATGAGACAAAGCCAAGGACTGGACATAGAAGGGGGTAGATCCTCACACTTCACTCTGGGGCTTCCAGCCTCCACAGCCTTCATCTAAATTTCCTTTCTCTCTCTGTCTCTCTCTTTCTCTCTATTTGTTTGAGACAAGTTTTCTCTATGTAACTGTCCTGGATATCCTGGAACTCACTGTGTAGACCGGTCTGGCCATGAACTCACAGAGACTTGCCTGCCTCTGCCTCCTGAGTGCTGATATTAATGGAGTACACCACCATCTCCCCTCTGGTGTTATTTATTTATTTATTTATTTATTTATTTATTTATTTAGGTTTTTCAAGACAGGATTCTCTGTGTAGCTTTGGAGCCTATCCTGGTACTCACTCTGTAGATCAGGCTGGCCCTGGTTTTATTTTTTTTTAAAGAACTATTTATTTACTTATTTATTTTTAGGACAGGTTCCACTATAATTTTTCCTTGCATAAATATCTTATGTAGATCAGGCTAGCCTCAAACTCACAGATTTGCCTCTGTTACATACCACCATGCCTGGGCTCATGTTTAGAGGTTTTGTTGTTGTTGTTGTTGTTGTTGTTGTTTTAAAGCAACAGAGAGAAGACAAATATAATGAAAGAGCTTAAAATGGGTGGAGGAGAAGAGGTTTGTTCAGTAGTTAAGAGCACTGGGTGTTCTTCCAGAGGTCTTGGGTTCAAATCCCAGTTCTCATACAGCAGCTCACAACTGTCTATTACTACAGTTGTAAGGAATCCAACAGATATGCATGCAGGAAAAACACCAATGCACACAAAATAAAAGGGAATCATTAAAAAGAAAAAAGAAAATGAAGCTAAAATGATGATTTAGCTGATGTATGTTTGCGAAGGGTTGATAGGGGAAATACTCACACATATACCCTGCAGGAAAAGCAATGCATGAATCCAGAAGCTACTCTGAAGACAAAAGCAATTACGGAAACACTGAAGAATGCTATTTTCTGTAATTATTAGGGTTTTGCCTCTAATTAGAGATTATAGAACTCTTAGATGATAAATGGAATGTTTAATTGTTTTTAGAGCTCTAGCCAGGCACCTGTGACCCCAGACACATAGAAGACCATACGGCTGAGAGATTTTTCTGGTCACCCAACACTGAGGTCACCTCAGCCTAATGAATCCAAGGCAGAGGCTCTGTCCCAACCTGGGCTGGCACTCACAGCCTGTCACCTGTCCTGCTCGATGAAGGGTCCTCTCTGTTCTTGCAGGGAGGGGCCCTTCGGAGGGTTGTACATTCCTCCAGGTCTGGAGTCTGAATGATCAGAGAATGTAAAAATACTTCAGAAAGGAGAGGGACTCAGGACTGGGGAGATGATGAAAAGCCAGACATGACAGCATGTGCCTGTAATCACAGTGGTGAGGAAGTGCTGGCCAGTCAGTCCACCTGAGTCCTTGCCAAGAGAGCCTGTCTCAGAAATAAGGTGGAGGACAGAGGATATGGCCAGCAGGGAAAGGCACTTGCTGTCACGTCTGAAGACCTGAGTTCAGTTCTGGGATCCCCACAGTGGAGGTGAGAAGAGAGAATTGATTCCCATAGATTAAGAGGATTATGGCACTCAGAGATGTACCTGCCTTTGCCTCCCAAGTGTCATAAAGCTTTTTTCAAAAGTGGAGAGGAATTGAGGGAGACACCTACATCCACCCTGGCTCCACACACAAGCACAGGAACACACACACACACACACACACACACACACACACACACACACAAAGGGGGTTCTCTTTCTGTTAGAGTAACCCTTAAGAGACCAGGAGACTCCAATCACATGAACTGTTGTCTCTGCCTTAAGGCCTTGACCCATTTTCCCCCAACCCCCAGCACAACAGCCACTCATGAGGTAGATACATGACTCGCTGCTTTTCTGTCCAATGCCCACTGGACAGGGAGGTTCCTGATGGCAGGGCTGGGTCTCCTCTGCACTTCTCAGACTAGAGGTTAGGAGGTTCCAATTTCTTGAAAGCAAATGTCTAAGACACAAGTTAGCTAGCTGCGTAGAGGGACAAACCTGGGGCCCCAGCAGGAAGGGATGCATGGCTGGAAGAGAGGTGGGGCCAAACACAAGCACCTTGTGGCCTCCTCCTCACCAGCCTTGCCTCCACCAGCCTTGCCTGCTTAAGACCTGGGATCCATGAGGAAGTGAAAGAAGTGCTTGTTTTCTTCCTTCCTTCCTTCAATCCTTTCTTTCTTTCTTTCTTTCTTTCTTTCTTTCTTTCTTTCTTTCTTTCTTTCTTTCTTTTCCAGACAGGTTACCCTGTTTAGCTTTGGAACCTGACCTGAAACTCGATTTTTAGACCAGGCTAGCCTCAGACTCACAGAGAACCACCTGCCTCTGTCTCCCAAGTGTTGGGTGGTGTGCCATCACCGCCAGGCAAGAAGCACATGTTTTCTAGATAGCAAAGTCACTTTGGTGATGATCTCAAGGGAGATTCAGATGTCCCCTGCTGGCCACAGGCAGATCATGTCAGTCCCTAGGACCCCTAATCCAGCTCCAAGTCCAACCCCACCTTACCTCCTGAAGCCTTTCCCCACAGCTGCCAGACTGAATATTCTAGAATTTAAAATAAGCTGCCACACTTCACTCTTCCCTCTCCTTTCAGTGGAGACCACATGTGTCCCTATGCCAGAGCCCCACCCTCTGCCCCTCAACTGTCAGTGAACCCTGCACTAGAGACTTCTACCCAGCACCCAGAAGTGAACTCCACATCCCTGTGCACCTCTAGGCAAGGGCACCTGTGTTCTGAGGACAGACATAACTAGCCAAGCAGTGGACATCATTTCTGGCCTCTCCATCCAGTAACTGGACTTTCCTCCATTATGAAACTGGGGAATCTGGGCATGAAATGAAGGTGCCCCACAAGGACACAGCTAGCCATGCCCAGTTGGTCCCTTCACTGTATCACTGAGGGAAACTCCTTCTCAGGACAGGCTTGGGGGTTCCCTAAGTATAGTACCTTCCAGGAATCCCTAGGGGGAGGCTGTATGTCTCAAGTCCTACTGACTCCTAAAACACCTTCAGCCTATTGTGCCCAGTCCCTGCCATCTTCCTTGTACACAAGGGATATTCCCTAGCCATCTCTCTGGCCCAGAACATGGGGCATAAAGTAGGTCCTAGGTCCATTCTTGTCCTCTTTGTTAAAAATAAACCCCCAAAAGTGCTAGGAGTCTCCTGAAGCTAGCAAGATGTGTCAGTGGGTAGAGGCACTTGCCACCAAGCCTGAGGATCTGAGTTCATTCCCTGGCATCCACACAGTGAATGGGGAGAACCAACTCTGGAAAGTTGTCCTTTGATCTCTACATGTCCACACACCCATACACACACACACACACACACACACACACACACACACACTAGGCAAATGTAATTGAAAATAAGACAAAAATCAAATAGGTCCTGATGCTTGAACACTCAAGGCAGGCCCTGAGAGAGATGGTCAGCCGCTGCTCTACCTGTGTGTGACTACCTACTGCTTTCTTCCTATTGGAGGCTCAGCCATCTGAAAGTACAGAGATAATTCAGAAGTCTTCCCCCTGCTGGCTGGCTCCCTGTCTGCTCTGGGACTCACCAAAGTCACAGACAGATCCAGCAGAGAATGACAAAGAGGGTATTGTAGTAATATATTGTTTTGATTTATTAAAGCTTGTGTGAGGATTCAGAAAGCAAAGTCAGCCACAACCCATAGAAGCTTGGCACACACCTTTAATTCTAGCAGCCAGAACCTAGGAGGTTATAGTACACTCTGTTACCAAAGGACTCAGGATTAAGAGGTAGATCGATCTCTGTGAGTTGTCCTAGGCCACCTAGATCTATCTACACAAGATTCATCTAGTCCTAAAGAAAAACAGCTCAACGGAAGATGACATCAGCACCTGGGATCACATGCCTTTAAACCCAGCATTAGGGAGGTATGTAGGACAGGACCAAAGTGTCTGAGAATAGGAGCATTCATCCTCCAGACACATTTAGGAAAGGAGGATTCATTCTCCAGGCATGGGGAGAATAGCATTCTACCTCCCTTGTTAGAGGTAAGAGCTCTCTGGTAGCTTGACTTCTTTGCTTCCCTGATCTTAAGCTTAAGCCCCAATATCAGGCTCTGGGTCTCTTATTTTTTTTATGTTACAGTCACTGGGGATACAAACAAGGCCCTTGGAGCCTCTGGATGTGTCCTATGGGGATGTCTGTGTTGCTAGTCTCCATGTCTCACAGACAGGGATGACTGTCTTGTTAGTCTCCATGTCTCACAGACAGGGATGACTGTCTTGTTAGTCTCCATGTCTCACAGACAGGGATGACTGTCTTGTTAGTCTCCATGTCTCACAGACAGGGATAACTGTCTTGTTAGTCTCCATGTCTCACAGACAGGGATGACTGTGTCTGTGGGTCCCTCCATTTCTCACAGGCAGCTAGAAAGCACTGCTTTTCCATAAGGCCTTTTCCTTTCAAACATAGGCAGCTGTCCCAGCTCCCCTGCCAAGTGTTTCTGTGAAACTACTCAAGTCAGACAGATCTGCTTCTGACTGAATGCTGCTAGGCTTATGACAGGAATTTCAGCATGGAGGGGGCAGGATGATCTGGCCAGAGGCTGGTAGGGCCTGTGCCTGTGTCCTTAGGGCTTGGTCCTGACATAGATGGGTTTCCACTTTGCAGAATACTTCCAGCTTCTGTTGTGTGTTTCAGTCAGGGTCTTACTCTGTAGTCCAGGCTTGCCCAACAGCACTATCTTACCACCTCAGCCTCTCAAGTGCTAGGGTTTCAGGCTGGCATGCCACCACACCTGTCTTAAAGCATGGGCTATGGTTTGGAACTCATGTTTAGACAAGGATGTGCATAAGGCTGTTTGCCTCATGGCTCTCTCCTGATCCTTGTTAAATCCTGGTTAAATTGGCTTTAGCTCAATGTCCTGCCTTTGTTGGGAACTCCCTTTGGTCAGAAGTGGATGCCTACAACCTCTTCCTCAACTGTGTTAACCAGACAGAGAGAGAGAGAGAGAGAGAGAGAGAGAGAGAGAGAGAGTTGGGGCTAGAGGCCCAGAACAATGCTTTCCTAACACTGTATCCAGAGAGCGAGCGGGATCTGATTCTACCTTCTCCTAAGCTAATTCTGCTACTTAGGGGTGCTTCCACAGCAGTGCTCCCACCCCTTTCCTGCTCTGAATCAAAGGGCTCATCTTCTCAGCAATGCCCACTGTCTCCATAGTAACCATTCAGCATCTGTGCCAACATTTCAGGCAACACGGGGCCGAGTCAGTCAGATTCTCTGGTCTGACTGGGATAATGCCTCATATGGATTAGCCCCTTTCTATACAGGGAACCCCTGGGTTAGCCATCTTTGTGGGGCACAAAAGCCTAGGCTCTCACCTTCAATTGGGTTTGTAGGAAAATGAGATAGGCTCAGGAGTAAAACATGAAAGATCAGAAAGGCAGTCTTCAACATAACACCCCGGGCTTGCTCCCTGTGGGTCTCACTGTGTCATTCTATCCTAATGTACAGGTACAATGTGCAGCCCAGGAGGCCTCTTTCAGCACTTGGAATTCTAGTCACACAGGACAGGGGTTCCCACATGACAACATGTCTCTGTGAGGGGTCTGTTGGCTCCAGTGCACAGCATCCCCTGGTGACTTCTTCCTCTTGCCCAACAGGATTTCACAACTTGCCCAACCCCCATGTACTAGGTAGGTGGAGGGAAACCTACTTCTTTTGGTTCTGCAGAAATTAATTTTCACAACCTCAATTGAGCCTGACAGCCTGTGAGAGCAACGATCTACTGACCTTCTTTGTCTATTTCCTAACACACCTGGGGGAGTCCCATGGTTGGTCAACTGGCACAAACAAGAACCTAACCTTGTTTTTTGTGCCAATTTGAGGCCCTTCTTTTCTCATTACACCACCTTACTCAAGCTTTTAACTCACCTGATTGCTCCAAGCCCCTCCCAGGGCACTCACATTCATTCATTCATTGTTTATTTGTGAGTATGCTTAATGTGAACTTGGTCAGGCTTTACAATCACCATGGAAACAAACCTGTGGCCTGTCTCTGAGGAGTTTCTAGATGAGACTGAGTTGGGGAGGTCTACCCTGACTCTGGGCAACACTATCCTGTGGCCTGGGATCTGGAACTGAACAACTGTGAGCTGAAAACCAGCATTAATTTCGCTCTGTTTCCTCGCTGTGCTCATAATATGACCAGCTGCCCCTGCTCCTGCCGCCATACCCTCCCCATCACGATGCACAGTCCCCTGTGACTGAGAGCCAAAATAAACCCTTATCCTCCAAGTTGCCACACACTGTCTGCTTCAGCAACAGACATGTGTCTAAAGCTTTTTTATCATCTGTTTTCTTCCTAAAATTTACTTTTTCTGCTCAGTCTCCTCCTTGCCCAGGCCCAGGAGGTGTCATTTCCACAAAGGGCATTTGTAAATGCTGCCCTCTGGAGTTGTTCCACCTCTACAGACTGGCAGCTTCCTTGAGACTGGGACAGTGTGGCTCAGGGCCACACTCACTGTCTTGATGGGGAATGTAACTCTCAGGACCTTAGTGAAAGTTTCTTGACAAATACACGGGAGAAGTTATATAGAAGAGACCATCACATGAGAGGCTGCCAGAGCCACAGCACCTCCTCCCTATAGGGCCAGCAGGGCACGGCCATGACAGTCACCAACTACAGTCCCAGTGCCTACCAACCTTCAAACAGAGTGTGGTTTTCTACAACGGTTATGTGACCTTGTATCAGGTACTTGGCAATTTGCAGCCTCAGTTTCCCCTGCTCTCACATGGCTGTGTGCAAGGCAATGGAAGAGTCAAGGAAACACTTTGGGCAAAAAATATCAGCTTGGCACAAGCAAGCCCCCATGTCATCCCTCAGTAATAACAGAAGGTGAGTAATTAATTACCTGTGGCCATCTTTGTGGTTCCTCTCTGCAGCAGGAGTTCCCCACATTCTTTATTCAATTGGCTATTTTTATTCAGGAGCCTGGGGAGACAGAAAGACACTAAAGGAACTATGCCTTGATCAGGAGCAGGGGTTGGACAGAAAGGAGATCAGGCAGCTGGATATGGTGTGCCCATCTTTAATTCCAGCGCCTAAGGAGGCTGAGGCAGAAAGATTTGAATTCAAGACCAGTGGTGGCTTCATTATGAGTTCAAGAACAGCCTGAATTAAAGCTAAATCCCTCGAAAATGAACAAACAAACAAGAAAGGCTAGGGATATGGCTCAGGGGTAAAGTGCTTGAGGGCTTAGGTTCAATCTCCACAAAGGATTTAAGGGAGGAGGAAGAGAAATGGAGGGAAGGGAGGCTACCCATGAACTATGTGTATGTCTTTCTGAACCACTGGGGTATTTGCAGCATCAGTGTGTCTGCCTCTCATTCTGTGTGTGTGTGTGTGTCCACTCCTCTAGACAACAACAAAAGAGCAAAGCCCAGTGCTACTGTGCACACTTCCAGATGCAGTGAATACAAATATGACCAGGGCATTCCTGGTCGGGTCATGGGTACAATTTTAGAGGCTGACAATGACTCACGGCAGTGTGAATTTTCTGGGATATAAGCTACCAGACATTTCCAGCAGGAAAATGGGAGAAAAACTGAAGGTAATTTTTAAGTAGCCCAAGATTGGTAGTGAGAGGGCAGAGATGAGCCAACAGAGAATGAACTTGAGGGGAAAGAAAGAGCCCCTCATACACACACAACATGAGTAAAGAGTGGTGGTGACAACAAGGGGCTTCTGAGAAGTGTCCTGGAGTCCATACCAGGGAGGTAAAGGACATTGTGAGGAGCCTGAGAAAGCAGGAGGAGAAGGAGGAAGCTGAACCTTCTCCCTACTTGGAGAGTGTCCACCCAGGGCACACAAGTCCTAGCCCTCCTCCGCCCTGCCCTCGCTGCCAGCACCCACCTCTGCAATATCTCCTCCATGCTGGACACCCTCAAGGAATTCTGGGAAGCTTCCACATGTAACATGTGCTCTATGTTCCTCCGTTTGTAGGTCACGATGTTCTCTGTTTCCTAAGGATTCAGCCAGAGCTGGTGAATAGGGACACCCCAGAGAGGGACAAGACCCATTCCCTGGTCCTGCCTGCTGCCCTCGGTGCCTCTCTGAGGGGCATCAGCCCCTGGTAGTTATCCTCTTTAATGTGCTGTGTCATTCAGCACAGGCTTGCATGGAACAGCTAGAGGCTGTGCTTTGTAGAATGTGACACTAGGTTTGCACTGAGGGCAAGCTATTTCACTAACTTCAGTCAATGCTGTCATTTCTGATGACAAGTCACAGGAGCAGGTAGGCGAGGTGAACGGGTTTGAGATTCCATCGGCTATACATCATGGAGTAATGGCAGGTTCAGAGTTTGGAGACTCACAGCCACCCAGTACCAACCAGGAGGATGTCCCAAGGCTCTATACTTGTTTCATCAGCGAGACAATACAGAGACCAAAGGGCAAAGTTTAGCACAACCTGGGTATTGGGTTCCACACTAACCCGTGAGTGAATGGTTCATGCAATGAAAACTTACTGAGTGCTTCCAGTGTGCAGGAACTTAAGACACAGGGATAAAACACTATTTCCAGCCAGCCAGTGGTAGCAAACCTTTAATCCCAGCACTTGGGAGGAAGAGGCAGGAGGATATCTATGAGTTTGAGGTCTGACTACAGAGCCAGTTCCAAGAGAGCAAAAACTACACAGAAAAACCATGTCTGAAAAAACAAACAACAAAGCAAACAACAACAAAAAACCCTAATTCTAGTTAGGAGGTTGGGGCAGGAGGATTGCCAGGAATTCATGGCCAGCCTTGATTACAGAATGCAGTCCTGGCTCAAAAAAGAAAGAATGAGTTGTTGTCCTCCAGGAAGGTGTGGACATTTTGTAAATGAGAAAATGGGAAGATGGAAATTGACACAGTGGTGTCCTCTGGAGCAAACTAACTTCCTTAAGGTAACACATTAGGTAAAGGACAGAGCCTAGTCTCAGATACAGGGACAGTACTGGCTGTCGTCACTACTGCTGCTGGTATTTTTCTATCAGCCACACTCACTGTCAATATATAGGGTTGTGTTCCGTGTGCACAGCACAGAGGAATTGGTTAGGTGTTAGGGCAGGGAGCTTCCTGTGGCCTAGAACTTCCTCCACCCATGGCTGCCCCCTTCATCTACCTTCTGCTGTTTCACAGTCTATGCTGGATACACCAGCATTCTGCAGAATCCAGGCCACAGAATGCACCTCCCAAGAGTTCCCATACCGTGTCCCTGACAATCTTAGGGTCACAAGCTTCACCATGCTGCCCTCTCTGGGGGACATCCCTGGCTAATTGTCCCTCTCTGCCACACTCTCCTGGTCCTTCATGTCCACAGGAGACAGAGATGAAGGTAACCCCTCAAAGTCTAGGGTCCCCATGACAGCCTCCAAGAAGCCTCTCCCTACATTAGAATCCAGGAGAAATGGCAACGTGTCCAGCAAGATAAGTTTGTCCACCATCTCAGGGAAGATGCAGGAGAACTAGAAAGTGACAACAGAGGAGTAAGTGAGTGGGTGAAGGCACAGATGTCAACAGAGCTAGAGTCTGCTGTCCCTTCAGTGTGCTTCTCCCAGACCCAGTCTCAGACCGCAATAACCCTAGATGGGACATGAAGAAACGCTACAGGGAACCATTGCCAGGACACAGTGTACATGAGAAGTTGCCTCTGGCTAAGGAGGTACTGTTTACCTACTGTATCCACTGTATAAAGGGTTCTTCCTTTCCTACCTCCCACTGGTCTCTCCACCAACACCCCCAGAAAGGTCCCAGGTGACCCCAGAACAGCCAGCTACTCACCATGCCACCCACAGTGCCACCTGCCAGACAAGAAAGCAGAGCTGACATCTATGTGACCCCTCTCCAGCTCCCAATGCTCCCCCAGCCCTTTCTTATGGGGCTGCCCCATCCCCAGCCCTGCTCCCACCATGGGGTTGGGACTCTTCATCTGCAATGAGGAGCTTCTCCCTGGGCCACCAAGGTCTCTCCATTGAAAACACTAACAAGGACACTCCGCACCCCCTCTGAGACCAGAGGCACAGTCCCTAAAGTAAGCATATGAGGACTCCCTTCCTCCTCAGAGGGGCAGGAAAAGGCACCAGATACCACTGTGTCAAATTTTCTCCCCCTCATATAGCCCTCCAGAAATCTCAGGGCCATTGTAAAGCTGACTCACCAAAACTGTGGCCCAGGAGGGAGAAGCGAGTCCATTTAAATGCTGAAAACAGAAATTTAAAAAGAAGGTTGGCATGGTCCAGCCTTACTCTAAACTTTTTCCTGTGTCCTGGCTTGGGACTCCCCCCACCCGGGAGACCAGCTGAGGGGGCTCAGCTCCACTGTGAGAAGCTCCTAGTGGAGGAAGCAAGCTCTTCTCAGTTGCTGGGAAATCTGAGGCTGGCCCCCGGGCATCCATTCCCAACCACTACTGTCTCCCAGACACTGCATCTGACCACCTAGGAAGAGAGGGGATGTGGCAGGGGATTCCCCCAACACACACATAACCCCTTCATGGCACTCGCTCTGGCTCTTGCTCACCTGCTGCCACCCTTCGGACCTCACTCACAAAATTGTGGTGGTAATACGGGAGACCTGGGCTGTAATGGGAGGAGAGCCCATGGCCCCCGAAATCCATGGCCACATAATGAAAATCTGCAGCAGAGAGAAGAGGAAGAGGAGGGGGTCTATGTGTCAGCTTCCACCCCTCCCCTGTCCCTCAGCCCATAGCCCCACCTTGTGGAAGAAGAGGAATGAGTCTGTCAAAGGAGTTGGCATTGTCCAGCCAGCCATGCAGGCAGAGAACTGGAGGGTTCTTCTGGGAGCCCCAGACTTTGACAGCAATGTGACCCCAAGGCACAGCCAGCCTCAACTCTGAGAACAGACCTGTAAGGCAGAACCAGTCATTTGTCCCCTGCATCCATGAACCCAGCACTTCCTCAGCCCCTCATCTATGTATGTTCCAGCATGCATGGGCATTGGTGCTACTGTCCTGGCTCTGGACAGACAGACTGCCTAATACCCTGAGGAGGGAAAGCCAATCAGGTCCCCTGGGTGAGAGACAGCTGGATAGGCCTTTTGGATGTAACTATTGGTGTTGGAACAAACACCAATAGTTGGAAGCACTTCGGTTGGTGGCTGCTGCTTGAACCCTGCCACTTGGGGCTGTGTGGCCTTGGACTGGTTGCTTCAAACCTCTTTATCCTCAGTCCTTTTCTGTTAAACTGGAGTAAACAGATTACAGTGCCTCTTAACTATGGGACCCTTTCTAAGAATCCCCATGGGTGCCTGAAACTTCAAGCATTAATGAACCCCATACAATGAATGCTATCTATGCTTTTTCATATATTTGTATATGTATATATCTACACACACACACACACACACACACACGTTCACACAAGCCAACTGCCCACATGGTGACTGAGAAACAAGGAGATACATAGTCATTCAGAGAGGATTCAAGGCAGAAAGCATGGTTCCTGGACTCCAGCTGGGCCCACTCAGGTCAGCTGTCCCAGAGCTGGCCCTCTCATGCTGCTGGCCCCAAAGTTGAACCCCAAATACCAATAGACACACTCCTCTAATCTAAGTGCTATCCGAACTCAGCAGCCATGTGGCTCATTCGGATCCCACAGTCTGGCTCTGCTGAATTCCAGAGCTGATGACTAGGCCTGGATAGGCAGTAGGGAGGGCTGTGGGTGTCAGCTCTCTCAGCTAGAGTAAGTGAGTGGGTTCATGGGGGATCTCATTAGGCCTCCCCCTTCCCACTCTGATCTAAGAGGCCCCAGGGACATTTTCACCCATTGCTGTGTCTGTGTGGCTGTCACTCCTTGTCCAGAAGGTCACAGGAACAGGAAGGACTCAGAAGTTAGATCCCTGCCCGCTGACTTTTCATCCAGGCTAGCCACAGTCCAATGGGTCTCCTCCCAGACAGTCCCTGTCCAAACCCCAGTTCCACCCCCACAAGCTCCTACTACAGTCCCTGAGCCCATCAAGCTGTTCCCGCCCTACTTAGGCCCCGCCTTCCTTTGGTCTCTGGCCAGTGAGACCCACAGAGATTCTGGCACTGCCCAGCTCCTGGCTCAGGCTGGGCTGCTAAGGTGGGTGCTGTGGTGGGCTATGGTGGAGAGAGCAGACAAGTTTCTGAAGGACATGTAGGTGGCAGGACCAATTCCTGGGCAGGCCCACATGGTACTAGGTGTTAAACAAGTCCCCTGTGGCCCCATGGCGATCAAAGCATGTTGGCCGAGTGTGTCACAGTGTTTCATGTCATCCGTGTGAGCACTGTGGCCCTCATTTGCACCAGGCACTATCTACTTTGATAATTGAATGAGTAAATGAATGTATTGTAATTGATGGGTCTGTGGAAACAGCCCCCAGGCAAGGAAAGATTCTAAACAGTTTCAGTCCAGAAAAGGTGAAAAACCCGGAGTCAGGCTGTGGGTATGTTACACTCAGAATGCTGGTAAAGGCAGATGGTGACTGGAGGCCAGCCTGGGATACACTTTGAGATTCAACCCGGACAAACCCACCCTAAAACAAAACCCTAGGAACCCAAATCACAAAACACTCCCCTAGTGAACACATGCAAGCATTATACTTTATAGTATAAGAAGAAATCCACACCTCTTGCACTTTTGAAATTTTCCAGGCTAACCTCTGGGAACAGGAGTTGATCTCAGGAGCAGAGTGGCTCACTGTCCTAACCAGTGAGCCACAGACCCAGTCACTGAGGAAATCAGTGTGGCGAGTTCCCTAAAGGGTGACAGGACAGACCCTGTGAAAAGAGGGTTGCAGGAGGTTAAGCGAAGGCTGGGCAGGGCCACTGTGTAGAGAAAGTTGAGACTGGGAAGTAATGGGGCCACAGGACTGAGTGATTTGACTCTGGGGAGGTTAGGAGATGGGACAACGCAAACTTTTCTGTTCTATTTGTTCTTTGAGACAGGGTTGGGACTAACAATGTAGCTGAGGATGAGCTTGAATTGAGCCTCCTGGCTCCCCCTCCACAATACTTGGGTTACAAGATTGATTGTTTTATGGAAATAGGAGATCAAATTCTGGGTTAGTGCGTGCCAGGCACACACACACAAGCCTTAGCTACACTCCCAGCACCATGAGAGCTTTTCTATACGCTACAAGCAGTGCTACATATGTTGAAGAAATTATTTCATTCCCCAAGGAAATGGACTTTCACTGAATTATGTGGAGCACAGATACTCATGGTGACTGCCAGGCTGGCTGGTGTCTTTGCCAAAGACACTTGTACTTGGGCAGCAGTCTCCAGCCTGCCTGACTTCTGGGTTGGCATCTCAGAAGATGTACCTTTGACCTCAAAACTCCCTTGGTTCAACCAGATCCTTCAACAGACCTGGCCTCAGCTGGCTCCTGTCTGTCCTGCTGGCCCCATGCCCTCTGCCATCCTCCCTCCACCCAGCCTCATCCTCATCCTCACATTCCAGTATTATCCAGCCTTTTTCTTGCCTGCCTCTCCCCGTTCCTCTCCTGTGATCCCCTTGGATTCCATGCTTATGGCCCTATAAGGCAATCCACTTCCTGCCATGCCCTCTACTCCACCCCAGTACTACCACAAGCTCCCACAAGTCCATCTATCCCAACTCTGCTTTTACCTCTGTGTGAGAATCCAGATGCTTTTGGATGCCAGCTAGGGAGAGGTAGATCTCCTTCAACAGCATTAGAGGATGCCAGGGGCCCTTATTTTCTCCTTTACATGAGAACCCTGTGCTGTCCCCTGTACCAGGCTTTTTATTTTGGACCACCCACCAGCACCCAAACCATGACACAGAGAGACTAATTAGTTATGAGTGCTCAGCCTAGCTTACACTCATTTCTGCTAGTTCTTTTAACTTAATCTATTTTTCTTTACCTTTTGCTTTGGGGCTTTTTACCTTTTTTATTTTTTTTTCTGTATGTATGTATTACTATCTGCAGGATATCAGATGCCTGGCATCTGGGCCTGGGTGTCTCCCTCGTTTTCTCCTCTCTTCTTCCTCATTCTTCCCTTCCTTTCTCCCTCTCACTCTTTTTCTCATAGTCTCTCTGCCTGCCAGCCCTGCATATCCTTTCTCCTAACCAGCTATTGGCCATTCCACTTTTCATTAAACCAATCAGGTGCCTTAGGCTGGCAAGGTGAAACAAATGCAACACATCTTTCCAAAATTAAACAAATGCAGCACAAACAAAAGTAACACAGGGGGCTGGAGAGATGGCTCAGAGGCTAAGAGCACTGACTGTTCTTCCAGAGGTCCTGAGTTCAATTCCCTGCAACCACATGGTGACTCACAACCATCCGTTATGAGATCTGGTGCCCTCTTCTGGTGCGCAAATACACATGGAAGCAGAATGTTGTATACAAAATAAATAAATAAAATCTTTTTTAAAAAAAGTAACACAGCTTTCCACATTTAAAGTAATATTACGCAGCATAAACAAATGGAACACATCTTTGCCTAATTAAAATAATAACCCCCCCACAGTCCATTCACTGCACTTGTCTCTAGCTTTCTATACCTCTAAGCCAGAATGCTGTCCCTTCCACCTTTCCCCTGCAAGTCTACCCTCTTTTCAAGGCTTGGTTTCAAAAGTCAGCTTCCCCAGAAGTCCTTTTAGTCCTCCCTGATGGAAATGTCACCTTGCCTGTGTTCACACTGTTGCTACCTGCCTTTCACCTGGACTTGGGTCTAGCTCGCTGTCAATCTCTCAATCTCTCTCTCTCTCTGGATGCATTTTGCCTTCTTTTCCTTTTCTTTCTTTTTTTCCTGTTTTTTTGAGACAGGGTTTCGCTGTGTAGCTCTGGCTGTCCTGAAAATAGCTCTGAAGACTAGGCTGGCCTGGAACTCACAGAGCTCTGCCTCTACCTGCCGCCCCCCACCCCCACCCCGTGCTAGGATTAAAGGCGTATACCACCACCTCACACTGGCTTCTGAAAAGTAGGATATGGTTGTTTTAAAACTATTTTCCCCTAACATTTACCAGAAGGCCTTGCACCCAGGAGGGATTCAGCCAACGACTGACAATTGGATTGGCTGAGAAAGGCTAAGGTCAGGCTGCCCCAGGCTCTCTCTAGGGGCTCACACAAGCACCTGCACCAGTGCAGAGAGGGTGGGTTGAATTTGTGAGTGTTTTCTAAGGTCTTGTGTCCTTACCAGTGCTTACTCTTCCCTGGAATTGGAACAGCAGGCACTTCTGGAGAGGTGGAAGGGATTTCATAAATGCTCACATCCCCAGCTGAGAGAGACAAGAGTTCCCCAGGAGTTTCCTTCCCCATCAGCAAGAGGAAACCCCAGCTAAGTCTATGAAATGGAAATCACCCCTGACACTAAACACAGCATGGGATCCTGGAACAGAAAAAGAAGAGGAAGATCTGGTGGAGTCTACATGAAACCTAGAGCGTAGCTAACAGCAGCAGACCAGTGTTTATCTCTGTCTGTCTATGGCTTGTAAGAGGATAACTGTGTAGGAAGAGGGGTGGTGGTGTATAAAGGAAGTTCTGGACTCTCGTTGCAGTTTTTTCCCCCTATAAATAAAAAATTATATCAAATTTTTTGTTGTTGTTGTTTGTTTTTGTTTTGTTTTCCGAGACAGGGTTTCTCTGTAGGTTTGGAGACTATCCTGGAACTAGCTCTTGCAGACCAGGCTGGCCTTGAATTCATAGAGATCTGCCTGCCTCTGCCTCCCGAGTGCTGGGATTAAAGGCATGCACCACCACTGCCCGGCAAATTATACCAAAATTTAAGTTTACTTTTGCAGAAAGAAATTCAGACCAGAGTCTTGCATGGTGACACAAGTCTCTAATCTCAGAGGTTGAGGGGCCCAGCTAGGAAGATCTCAAGTTCAAGGCCAGTGTAGGCTACAAAGGAAGACTGTTTCAAAACAACAACAAACTTAACCAGACATGGTAGCACAAGTCTGTAATCCCAGCACCCAGCAAGCAGAGGCAGGAGGATCTCTGTGAGTTACATGCCAGCCAGGGCTAAATAGTGAGACCCTATCTCAAGAAACAAGACAACTCAAAAAATTCAA